AATCAGCCTGTTGTAACCCAGCCCGTTTCCATGCCCGCCCCCGCAGGATGGCAGAGAACGTGCTTCTCAGCCCGTTCCCAAGCCCCCCCTTCCAACCCCCCTAGGGTTGCCAGGAACAGAACTATAACCATTGTTACCCAAACTGTAACTATTTCTATCTGAACTGTAACCATTGCTACCTTAACCACTGCCACCCAAGCTGTAACCATTGATACCTAAACTATAAACCCAAACTGTAACCCTGCCTATGGTGCCCTGCCAATGGCAACATTCCTTGTACACAAAAAAGGGTATAAAAGACAAAAAACCCTGCACTTCAGGGCCGCTTGTCTTAGGACAGTGGCCCCCTGTGCAGGTGGGAATAAATCACCAAAAATTTGCATCAGTGTGGGTACAAGTCCATTTTTTTCTAAGTCCTTTAAGTTATTTTTCAAGCCCAGGGTGGGAAAGCTCTTTGTCTTTGTGGGTCTACGACTGTCTTTCCCAACCCCCTACAGAGATACCAAGGCAGCAGTGGGCAGCAGTAAAAGCATCCCACCATATCCACCCCCCACTTGAAGACACCTGACAGCCTGACCTAGATAAACCTCTCTGTTCCCTCAGGCAGCATCATCAGGGATGCATGGAAGCCCCAGAAAAATCAAATAGACCAAAACAATACTACTAAGACCCTGAAATGTATTTTTTAATTTTTTATCTCAAATTAATACGAGGGTACAAATTTTTAGGTTACCTGGGTTTCAATTTTAAGATTCAGTTCAAGTTGTAGTTGAGCCCTTCACCCAGGGGTCATGCTGAACACCATCATGAGGACCCTAAAAATTAAATTACCATTAGAACACAGACCACAAAAAATAAGCCAAGACCTGTGTGTGAAACATAAATGAGATGACTGTCTGCTGAAATAAACAATTTGAATAGCAATCACCTAACGCAATACACAAAATGTTCAAACAAAATCATCAAGATTGCCAAGAATCAGGAAAATCACCACTGGAATGAGAAAAGGTAATCAACTAATACCAATGTTGAGATGACTCATCATCTGATTCAAAGTAGTTAGTATAAATGTGTTTTGACAATCATGATATTTAAAGGTGGGGAAGATAAATGAACCTAAGTGAAAGTAAAGCTTATGTAATTCACTCAAAGTGGTAAAATATTGATACCAGTAGACTGTTGTGACTCATATATGTATGATGAATATTCAGAGCAACCACTATGAAAATTATATAAAGATATGTACTTTAAAATCAAGATGGAATTATTTTTAAAAGTCCAAATAATCGACAGGAGGGCAAGGAAAACAAAGCACAGGCATCAGAATCAAAGGAAACAAAGAAAACAAATAATAAAATGGCAGACTTGGCTCGGTGCCTGTAGCTCAAAGGCTAGGGCATCAGCAACATCTCCTGGAGCTGGCAGGTTCGAATCCAGCCTGGGCCTGCCAAACAACGAGACGTAGAACCAAAAAATAGCCAGGTATTGTGGCAGGTGCCTGTAGTCCCAGCAACCTGGGAGGCTGAGGCAAGAGAATCACTTAAGCCCAAGATTTTGAGGTTGCTGTGAGCTGTGACACCAAAGCACTCTACCCAGGATGACACAGTGAGACTCTGTCTCAAAAAAAAAAAAAAAATATATATATATTAAAATGGCGACATAAGAGCTAATGTATCAATAGTTATATTAAATGTATTATAATTGCATTGGCTGTAAATCCAACTACAATAGTCCCCCCATCTATGATTTTACTTTCTGAAGTTTCTGAGTTACCAGTGGCATAGTACAATAAAATATTTTTTGAGAGAGAGAAAGACCACATTCACTTAACTTTCATTACAGTACATTATGATCATTGCTTTATCTTATTATTAATTATTATTATTAATCTTTTATCGTGCCTAATTTATAAATTAAACTTTATCGTAGCCATGTATATATAGGACCAAACAGTATATGTAGGGTTCAGAACTATCCATGACTTCAGGCCTTCACTGGGGTCTCAGAACAGATCCCTCTCATATATGGGGGGACAATTGTGTATGATGCTCCCAGAAAACTCACATTAAATTTAGTAACATAAGTAGAATGAAAGTAAAAGGAGGAAAAAAAAACATATAAACATATGTTTTCTAAAAATCTAGAGTAGCTATATTAATATCCTATAAAGTAGACTTCAGAGCCAAAAAATAATTAGTAGAGACAAAGAGAGACATTACCTAATGATCAAAAGGTCAATCCGGCAGGAAGACATAATGATTCTTTTTTTTTTTTTTTATTTTTTTTTTTTTTTTCTTTTGGCTGCCACCTCCAGCATATGGGGTTGGTGTCCTACCCTTTTGAGCCACAGGTGGCGCCCTGACATAATGATTCTTAATGTGTACATACCAAACAACAAAGTCCCCAAATTCAAGAATGGAAAACTGGTTGAGCTAAAAGGAGAAAGAAATAAATCCACAATTATAGTTGGAAACCTCAATACCCCTCTCAGAAATGAAACAATCTACCAGACAGAAGAACATCAGCAAACGTATGGAAGTTCTTAAAAAAATAATCAACTAATAGGATTTAATTGAATATTTTTATAATTCCATCTTGATTTATTCATAGTGTTTTCAATTACATCTTTTGATTTAGAACACTCCACCCAACAACAGCAGAATGCACTTTTTTCTTAAGCACCTACAGAACATTCATTAAGACACACCATGTGCTTGGCCATAAAACAAATCTTAACAAATTTAAAATAATTGAAATCCTACAGTATATACTCTCTGACTACAAGGGAATGAAACTAGAAGCTGGCGACAGGAAAGTCTCTAAACACATGAACATTAAAACACATATTACTAAATAATCTACACATCAAAAAGGAAGTCTCAAAGGGAATTAAAAAACACATGTAACTGAGTGAAAAATGAAAATACGGCATATTGAAATGTGTAACATGCAGCTAAAACAATTCTGAGAGAGAAATTTATGACACTAAATGCTTACATTAGAAATGAAGAAAGACCTTCAGTCAATAATCTAAAGTTCTACATCAAGGACTTAGAAAAAGAAGGCTAAAGTAAACCCGAAGCAAGTGGAAGGAAGGGAACAATAAAGATCTGAAATCAATGAAACTAACAAACTACAGGGGAAAATTAATGAGACAAAATTTGGTTCTTTGAAAAAAAAAATCAATAAAATTGACAAACTGCTAGCAAGACAAATAAAAATAAAAAGAGATAAGATAGAAATGAACCAATCCCAAAAGGTTACCATGATTTCATTTATATAACATTTGTGAAATGACAACATTTTAGAAATGGAAGACAGCTTAGTGGTTGCCAATGGTAAGGAAAAGGCACGAGAGGTGGGAGGAAGGGAGTATGATTATAAAAGAGTGACGTGAGAGGTCTTTGTGGTGATGGCGCTGTTCAGTATCTTGACTGTGGTGGTGGATACATAGAACTACACACGTACTCAAATTGTGTAGAGCTAAATGCATGTGTGCACACACAGGAATACACAAAAAACTAGAGAATTGTGAATAAGATCGGTGGGTTTTATCAATGGCAGTAACCCAGTTGTGATGTTACACTACTACAGTTTTAAAAAGTGCTACCACTGGGGGGACCTGGGTAAGGTGTATGTGGATCTGCCTTATTTCTTAGAATTGCATGTTAATCTACAATTATCTCAATAGAAATTTTATTTATTTATTTATTTTTGAGACAGAGTCTCACTAGGTGGCCCTTGGTAGAGTGCTGTGGTGTCACAGCTCATAGCAACCTCAAACTCTTGGGCTTAGGCAATTTGCTTGCCTCAGCCTCCCAAGTAGGTGGGACTATAGGTGTCTGCCACAATGCCCAGCTATTTTTCTGTTGTTGCAGTTGTCATTGTTGTTTAGCTGGTCTGGGCTGGGTTTGAACCCACCACCCTTGGTGTATGTGGCTGGTGCCATAACCACTGTGCTACGTGTGCCAAGCTGCAATAAAAATTTTAATTAAAAATTATTGAGAGCCCCAAGGAGCTTTTCCTATGTGAGTTATTTCTAACCATAGAAGTTAAAGCTGAAAGAAAATTAAACACAGAAAAACACAAGGCCAGGTGCCTATAATTTGCTTGAGTTTAGGAATTTGAGACCAGCCTGAGCAAGAGCGAGACTCTGTCTCTATAAAATAGCCCGGCATTGTGGTGGGCACCTGTAGTCCCAGCTACTTGGGAGGCTGAGGCAGGAGGATCACTTGAGCCCAAGCATTTGAGGTTGCTGTGAGCTATGATGCCATGGCATTGTACTGAAGGTGACAGAGTGAGACTATCTTAAAAAAAAAAAAAAGAAAGAAAGGAAAACACACAAGCACACATTCCATTAGCCACCATAGCAATGACATCATTACCTATCATGTAGCTTCTGGAAAACTCCATCGTACACTCATGACAGGATGGGAATGAAAAAGAAAAATAACATCTAAGTATTATTGTGAATATGGTTTTGATCTTGAAGTACCCCAAAATGATGTTAGGGATAGGGTAACCAACTCATCCTGGTTTGTCTGGGATTTTCCTGGTTTTAGTACTGAAAGGCCTACCAAAACCAGTGTGGCTTGCCTGAGACTTACCCACTTTTAAAGCTAAAAGTTCTACATCCAAGGATCCATTTTGGTCCTAGGAAAACTGGGCTGTTTGTCCTCCATATTCACAGACCGTTTTGAGTCCTAGGAGAAGACTTTAAGAGCCTCTGTGTAAGACCGTCCATACACAGAAGGAATTTCCAGATCATTGTTTTTATTTCACCATCACTTAAAATTTGAGCATCTCCACAGTTGTAATTTATTAGAAACTCCCCTCCCCTATTCCAACTTGCTTGCTCAGCTTTCCTGTATGGTCCATTCTACCTTTTCCTCTTCCCCTTGGATTCCTTAAATAAGATATCTTTGAAAGGGGTTGATAATGAAAACGTGTCATTGGAGTATGAGTATGTTCCATTGTGTTTTTCATGATTATCTTTTCAGGTCAGGTCAATGTGGTGCAAGTGACCATCCCAGATACTTTTGTCAATGCAACTGTTGGATCTGATGTCACTCTCATCTGCCTGTACACCACCTCTGCGACCTCCTTAGACAAGCTTTCCATCCAGTGGTCTGTCACCCATCAGAAGGAGTTGGAGCCAATTTCTGTAAGGATTCTTTTATTCAACTCTTCCTTTTCTGTAGTTCTGATTCAAAACTGTTGGGGTAGGCGTGTGAAGAAATGGTATGTGTACGCCAGTGATAACAGTGGCAGAACCTCAGATACAAAGAGTGAAGATAGCTATTTAGGGAAGACCATTATCTAAGTGGCTTTGCCATTGTCTTCTCTTCATATTTAGTTATAGTTATCTCATTTCAGTATAGGTTAACATCAAGTATACCACGTATTCTAGAGCAGACAGGAATGGTCTTTCTCATAGGTGATATGAGCAGTAGTTCAGAAAGGCCCTCTCATATATCCTTATTATTTCTAGAAGATTCCAATTCAAATTCAAGCCCTGATTGATCTGTAGATCTCTGCCAAACTTAATATCCAGGATCTGCATGTCAAGTGAGCTAGTTCACTGCGCCAGACTGAGTCTTGACAGAATGAGCCTCACCAGATGGGTGGAGAAGGGAGAAGGGCTGTAGTAGTGATGCACTCTTGGCAATCAACGACAGCATGAGATTAGAGAATAGAGGATAGTGTGGGTGGGCATAGGGTCTGGGGAAAGAGGTTGCCAGAAAAGGGTGGGTGAAAGTGAAGGGAGGAGAATGATTCTCCATGTAAGCTGCCTATTCCCAGGCTTCCTTCATTTGGCCTTAAGGGAAATGCCTTCTTTAAATTAGCACAAGGATTAAAATTATATAGTCCAAGGTGTGTGTGTGTGTGCATGTGTGTGTGAGAGAGAGCGAGAGATGGAGAGAGAGAGATGGAGAGAGAGAGAGAGAGAGAGGAGAGAGAGAGAGAGAAACACATATGCCATGCATGCCTACACACATCCTTCTTTTAGGGAAAAGGTCTATAACTTTCATCAGGTTCTCAATTCTCCAAAGCAGAATTTAGAAATAAGATAAATCAGTGTGGTCTGGAACAGTCAGATGCAGCTGAATTAGGCCTTGACGGAAAGGAAGGGTTTCGATTAGCAGAAAGATAGCAGGAGAGCTGGTTGAATGTACTGTGGGACACCTAAGGGCAGAAGTGGAGAAGTTGAGTAGCTTATTTGTATGCCATTTACCAAAATGTCAGGTATAAGTTGAGAAAGTAATTTAAGATATCCCTTAAATTTTGGCATGCCCAACTCAAAGGAAGGCCTCTGCACTGAGCTTCTGGGTCAAGGAGAACACACTCTCTGGTATTAAAGCTACATGAGACCTGTGCTATGCCTGTGCCTTAGCCACATGGAAGACAGGTAGAGTAGGGCTAGCTCTTGGCTTGGGAAGAGTGAAAACCATCCTTCCAAAGGCAAACTTTCTCCTTCTTCTGTTTTCCTGTCTTGCTTCAGTTTGTCCTTGTCAGATACCCAATATAACCATCATTAAGCCTCTACTTCTAGAGACCTGGAGCCCTTCCTCTCTCTCCCCAAACTATGTGAACATGAGCTTCTCTTTGCTTTCTCAGAGATGTGGTTTTGGAGCCCCAGTGGACACTTCCTCATGGATGTCAGTCCTACTCCTTGCTCTGGCACTTGCTTGCTGGCTGGATGACCTTAGACAAGTTACATGACCTTTCAGAAGTTCAGTTTCCCATCTGTAAAATGGGAATACTTGTCTACCTCATAGGTTTAATATGAAGATGAAATGAGATGATGCTTATGAAGCACTAGGAAGCCTTCTACAGCAAATGTGAATGTAAGCTATTATTCTTAGTATCATCACTTGCAAAATAGTGATATATTATCCCTATTCCACCCAGACCCCTGGTGTCCCAGAAAGACTGGGTCATGGCCACTAGGGAACTTAGCCCCACATGATACACTCTGTCCCCAGCTGGGACAGGGCTTTTCATGGACATCCCAGCTCAAGATTGGCTTCCAGTTCCACTGCCTGTCAGGTCTCTCTGGCTAAAGGGAGGGCCCAGGCTCTTTCTCTGACTGCTTCTTATCCCTGAACACAGAGCCTGCTCAACCAGGAGATTGCGGATACCCTAAGCTGAATGGTAGTTTTTGAAAAGGGATTTGGCTTCCATTTCAAATCTGTTTCCTTTTTGAGCACTTTCATGACTTCATAATTCTGTACAGCATACTGTAAAAAAAGAAAACAACTAACTAACTAACTAAGGAGGAAAGATTTCAAATAATTCATGGTTCTTGTTTGTTTCAAGCCTGGAAGATTCGGGGACATCTCTAATTAATCCATTAGCCTGCTTTTGTGAGAATTTAAACTGAGCAATACTTTAAATACCGTAGATGGTAATGGTATACATTTATACTCCATATTACTGTTTTAGAGGACAAATGGACATTTGTTATCAACAAATTCCTTTACGCATAATAAATTATATTCAAAACGACTTTGCCCTTGAATAGAGATCTTAATGTGTCCTTTCTTCCCCTCCCTCCAATGAAATGGAAGAATGTTTTCAGTCTTTTGTTATTTTATACTCTGCAGATGTTCTAATAATATTTTAAAAATTACAAAAATAAACATTAATGCTGGTAGCACACACACAAAAAAAAACCAGAAATGCATTTAATTAGGGATCTTTCATGCCTTCTTCTCTATCCAAATGGTGCATACTTAGACAAATGGCAGGCTGATAAGAGAGAGGTTTGGGGGGCAGGAGAGTCTTTCTCTTGGTATTGTATTCCATCCGTGTGCAATCTCAGCCTTCCTAGTATGGTCCAGAGAATTTTCTGGGCTCAAGACCATTGCTTCCTCACACCCAACCCTACTCCCCAACCTCCATGGCTATCCACTCTATGAGCAGTACAGGGATGAAAGAAGCTGAAAGGAAAAGAATGGATTGGTTTTCTGTGGACTTCCATGCCTTCTGCATTCCCAAAAGGAACCTAAAAAAGCAGCTCTGGAAGATAAAGGTACTTAGTCACTCCAATTCGGACTTGGAATAGAAAGCAGATTGAATTCTTTCAAATCTCCTTGTTTATGCTATAAGCCTCTAGTTAGAAAGCAATGTCACAAAACTGAAGAAAAAAAAATCTCTTAGGACCAATCTGGCTCCCAGCTGCATAGCCTCATGTGAACAAGAACTTGGCGCAGTAGGAAGGAAAAGGCTGCTCTGCAAAGAACCAAGGGGCCTGCAATTGCAGCTGCTAATGCTGAAGGCACGATGTGGCGAATACACTTGGCGTGGGAGGCATCGTGCCAAGGGTATCAGCAGTTCGCAGGAGAAAGGCTGGACTGGAATAGGGGATGGAATGGCCCCACAGGGAGAAGGTTGCTGGGGATCTTTCTGATCTCAGACTATGAATGCCATCTTGATGTATTCAGTGGGAATCAGGAGGTCTGGATTCCAGGTCTGATTACAAATATTCCTCTCTTGAAGCCTCAGCTTCCTTCTTTATAATAGAAGAGGAAGAATTAGAGGGTTTTTTTTTGTTGTTGTTGTTTGTTTGTTTTTTAACTACAGGCCTCTGGGCTAGATTGGGCTAATGGACATATCTCGGTTGGCCAGCCCAGTATTTTGTTTGTTTGTCCAATCGGTGTGAATGTCTTGTTTGCACTGGCTCTCCAGTTCACTGCAGTCCCAAATATCCTTTATGATCTGACCCCTGTCCATTAGTTCCTCCCAGCCATTTTCCGTATCTCCAATATCCACCTGGCTCCTGAAGCCTCCTTAACCTTAGAGACTGTGAACTAAATGGTCTTTAAGAGCTTGTTATACCTAATGTGCTACTGTGACTCCACATGTCAGCTTCTAGCATCACTCAGGGTACAGGCAGAGAGGACTGTGGGAAAAGCAGGGCAGTCTACAATGAACACAAGTACAAAGGGCAAGTAGGTACAAAATTAATAAGAACTACTTAAGGAAACATTTGGACGGATGTTGTAAAAGCAAGACTCACTGCCCCCACCCACCAGAAAAACATGTGGCATCTGGCATATCCGTGGATCTCAATTGCTTTGATACCTAATTGGCAATATTCTTTCTTTGAAAAGTATATGAGCCACACAGGATCATGGGGCTGGCATTGGCCATTAGTCACCTGTGATTTTTAATTTAATTTAATTTTATTTTTGAGGACAGAGTCTCACTCTGTCACCCTGGGTAGAGTGCAGTGGCATCATAGCTCATAGCAACCTCAAGCTCTTGGGCACAAGTGATCCTCTTGCCTCGGCCTCCTGAGAAGTGGGAATTATAGGCACCTGTCACAATGCCCAGCTAGTTTCTCTATTTTTAGTAGAGGTGGGGGTCTCGCTTTTGCTCAGGCTGGTCTCAAACTCCTAAGCTCAAGCGATCCACCTGCCTCAGCCTCCCAGAGTACTAGGATTACAGGTATGAGCCACCGCACTCAGCCATGGCTGTGATTTTTAAAAAGAGTTATTCTTTAATGGAAAATGGAACCAAGTTGTAGTCCTTCCTGTGTGATTAGATAAGCAGTTTCAAGAAAACATTTCTTTCTTTTTTTCTTTAAAAGGACAATGTGGCAATCTGGACTTCCCCTAACAGAAAGTCCCTCCATCTGTGTGTTTGGTGGCTATCTAGCCCTGGCAACTTTCCCTCTCACGTAGCACCCTGAGGCCAATGTCTTGCCCTTTTGGGTCTCTGTTGTTTTCTCCCCTTACCCCCATTCTTACCCTTAATAATTCATGAGAGGGAAAAAATTATCAGACTACAGTGTTAGGAACTAGAATAGAAGGGGTGATGATGATCCTTCTCACAGGTAAGTTAAGGGCCCAAGGCCTCATCCTTATATCTTCATTTCACTTTGATTCATGCCCAACTATGAGACTTCTACAGTAGCTTCTTTTCATGCCCTAGTCCTGGCCTAAAACACATGCTCTTGGCCCCTGACCTCTGCAGAAACCAAGTCTTTACACGTGGATCCTCTGGGACTAATGGTGGGCCTCCGTCTGGACCGATGCTGTATCTCACTGTGATGTTGTCAAGCATCAGTATAACACAGGGCTGATGTTATGTGCTTTCCACTGTCTCCTTGAGAGCAGGGGAAGTAGTCAGATGTTGAGGTCGTAAAGGGATTTTGATGGGCAGCAGCCTGAATTCTAGGTAAGAAACAACAGGGCCTCAAATTGTCAATGACAAAGTAGATAAGCTTCATGCTGACTAATGAACTTAAGTGCTGGGTAGTGTGGGTGTCAACTCAAATGACGGAAACAGAACTCTGATGAGTTGAACCTCCTCCTTTGTCACTTGACTACTTTGAGTTAATGTTGGCTTTGTGGTTTGTAATTCCAACAAGACCACTCTGGGGCAAAAGTTTATGATTTTAGGAAGAGTGAATGAATGGATTATAAAGCATGTTGATTGTAGAAAAACCAGGAGAGAGAGAGACAAGTTGTTTTCTTCTTAAATATGCTCTAGTCTTTGAGTTTTCCTTCCTAATCTACCTTTCTGCCTTAGTTTTTAAAAATCTTGAGTTTCTGCTTAAAGGAGAACACACATTCATTTAGACAATGTCTTTTGGTTTTCTAAGTGCTTCCCTTCTTTCATTGATCTATTAAGGTAAAATACACAGGACAAAGGATTAGGAAAACTGGATTCTACACCTGTCCCAACTGTGAATTTTCTGTGTGGGGGGTTTGTTTTTGTTTTGTTTTGAACTTCTCTAAGCTTCAGTTTCTTCTGTAAAGTGAAGGGAGTGAATGAAATGAATTGTAAGGCCTTTTAGTAGATTTTACAAAAATATAATCCATCTCACTGGGCTAAGGCAATACCAGTTTACTGAACAATAGACAATAATCACTTGAATTATGCATATTTGCATGAAACTAGCAAAGTGTATACAAAGAAGGTGTGTATACATTTTAAAGGGACCTCAGGGATTACCTAGTCCAGTGATTCCTGAGGTTGTTATTCACCTTCCATCCACATGATTTTTGTCATGTTTGTGTATCACTAGCACTATTAATTATTTAATGTTTTCTATATTGATCTTGTTTCTTAAAATTTTAAAAAAATCTACCTTAGTCTCACCCTAAACAACAATAGCTGTGAGGTTTGACGTGCATGTGCTAGAGATGTCTCTTTCTAACACGTGTACACATTAAAACTTGAAAGTTTCCATTTACGTGTCACCTAAAATCAATTTAAGTCCCAATACTCAGGGAATACATATCCTACTTTGGAAAGCATTGCTCTGGTTCCTTGTTCCAATGTGGAAACTAAAGGTTGGAGAGATTAAATAGCTTTGTTACTTATCTAAAAACAGGTTGCCATGGAGGCACGATAGAAGCCACCTCTCCTGACTATGTCATAGTGAGAGGGAGAGCTGCAGACAACTCAGGCCACTGACTCCTAGGCCCAGGCCCTTTCCACCATGTCATGCTGCTCCCATGGTAGCCATTCTGTTCTAAGCCTGCATGTTCTTTAGTGGAGATGAGGCTAGAATCCAGATCTTTAAGTTTAGTAAATTATAATAGCAATAAATGAATTCTTGTTGCTTTAGTTGAGCCATTTAATCTCTCTGTGTCTGAGTTTCCTTGTTTATCTAGGTGATATAAGAATTCCAGTTCTGCCTCCTGCAACATGGATAGAAAGATGAGAGCTACCGCACTAAGCATTTGCTAGGCCCTTTGCTAGATTTCTTTGTTTCATCCTCACAACAGCACTGTGAAGGGATGAGGCCAGATGATTTCTCAGGGGCCCCTTCTGCTATCAATCGTACTCTTCCAACAAATCCAAGTTTGCTTATACAACAGAATATGTGTGTATGAAAGGAGCATAAACATTTGAACTTTAGGGCAACAAGGTAGTCCCACTGGGTGAAGCAAACTCAAGTCAAAAATAGATTATAACGTGGTAAAAAAAAAAAAAATAACAGTTTTAGTTTCCCATCAGACATTAGTGTCCTGTGGAATAAGTTTCCCCCAGGTCACATCAGGTGAACATCTTGGTCTCCTAACCATGCATAGAAGTTGAATCCTGCTGCCTCCAGCTGTTTGCTCCTCTGTAAGATAGAGCTGCTCTGAGGGCCAAATGAGGTCATGGTTGTGAGCAGCTGTGCAAAAACTAAAGTGTGCCACTGATTTGAGAAGGCTTGGCTGTGGGGACTTGTTCCCCAGGGAAAGAAGATGCTGCTTCTTATCAAAGGTAATATGGATAGAAGGAGGTTCCAGGTAGCTGATTCTAGGCCTGGATACCCTGCAATTCTCACGTCGTTTTATTTTTCTGTCCTAGGTCTACTATTTTGAAAGTGGACAAGGCACAGGCATCGGGGACTTTAAAGATCGTGTTATAGCATCCCATAATCCAGGTAATGCGTCCATCACTATTTCGCACGTGCAGCCAGCAGACAGTGGAGTTTACATCTGCGATGTTAACAACCCCCCAGACTTTGAAGGCAAAAATCAAGGCACTCTCAACGTCAATGTGTTAGGTATGGACACTTTTTTCTGCCTTTTCTTTTCTTGGAGCATATTAGGACACTGAGTGAGTCAGAGCAATGACTTATGATGCCAATTAAGTCTCTGGAGGTAAATATCCTCCCTGCTCCTTTCATTATCAGGGAAATAGAGACAAACTACCAACCCAACTCATACAGTAACACTGAGAAATCACTCATAAAACACGTGGAAACAATCACCAAAGCAAAGGGCTGCCAAAATGGCAGCAAAAGATGACCCAATCTCCGGGGATCCTTATCTCTGAAGGACAGAATAAGAACAGTTGGGACAACCCACTGTCCCATGAAATGATCACTAGCAACTGTTCCAGAGGGAACCTCTGGTGAGAGCCAGACCTACCTGGGGGGAGACATTTGTCAAAGCATTATGCCTTCCAAGCTCACTACAATTCTCACTATTAAATCATTCTTTTCAATAAGGCAGGAAAATCCTGGTGACACCTGTAGCTCAGGGGGTAGAGTGCCGGCCACATCTCCCGAGGCTGGTGGGTTCGAACCAAGCCCGGACTTGCTAAACAACAATGACAACTGCAACAAAAAAATAGCTGAGCATTGTGGTGGGTGCCTGTAATCCCAGCTACTTAGGCAAGACAATCACTTAAGTCCAAGAGTTTGAGGTTGCTGTGAGTGACGCTATGGAACTCTACCCAGGGGTGACAGCTTGAGACGCTTTCTCAAAAAAAAAAAAAAAAAAAGAAAGAAAAAGAAAAAGAAAAAAGAAAAGAGTTCCTTTTTAAGATGGTAATGCTATTTGGAAAAGGAACCACACATTAAGTTAGTGTTGAGGATCAAGTTAATTATATGATATTGCACAAGTCATATCTGCTCTTAAAATGAATTGGAGTAGTTCATTTATTCGATATTTAGTGAGTGCCTACTTTGTGCCAGGAATGATGAGGTTTACAGAGATGGATGCATGGTTTTTGCCCTTGGGGGAGCTCCCAATATGGGTGATTTCTAGGGTTTTTCCAACCTCTGAGAGGAGAGTGGGGGCTAAGCGCCTGTCTTCTGGCCCTGAGGGTAAGAAGAGCAAAGGGAGAGGTGAAATGGCTGACAACCCTTCCTGACTGACCAGTTGAACTAAGCGTTTTCCCAATTCTAAGTAGCCCCACAAGGAGCTGATCTAGTCATCGCTCCTGTCAAGCCATGTACATACTCACGGGAAAAAAGGAGCTAGATCAAATCAGTGACTTAATAACCGAGTAGCTTGGAAAAGCAGCAATTGCTAACAAGGTACATAGCTCAGAGAATTTGTCCAGAGCTGTCCTGGCTTGCCACCCAGATGATGCCAAAAAGGAACCAGCTGATATTTACTGTGAGTTTTGCCACCTCTTCTACCCAGTTGGAAAAGAGGGAAAGATATCCAAGAGCTAATTTTTAAGAGTGAGTTAACACAATGACTCATCTTTGTACTTTGATAAGCCCTGTGCTAGGCATTTGGGGTACAGGGGTAGAGAGGAGGAGTATTACTGAAGCACTTTCCTGGGAGAGTTCATATTCCAGGTTGAAAGACTGGAACAGACACGGGAACTAAATGGCATGGTATAAATTGCAAGGCATCGATGTAGGAGTCCAGAGATCTAGGTTCTAGACCTTACTCTGTACTCGGTGACCTTGTGCAAGTACGTCCACGTTTTCCCAACCATTGTGAAATGGGGTTGTAATTTCTGCCTTCTTTACAGATTTGTTATCAGGAACCTCATTTTTCAATTGAACAAATGAAATACTGAAGATCAAATGTTTTCAAAATATTCGAAAGATTGAGGGATTAATCTGCTAATGATTTTGTATTGTTCCCTGGCTCTGGGGGGTTCTGACCAGAAACAGCCTAAAAAGGCCAAGCCTTTTTACCCCAGGGCTTGGAAATAGCCCTGAGATAAAGCTAGACAAGAAGGTTAACCTTCTTAAATTTAAAGGTCAGAGAATTCCAAATCAATCTCCATAAGATGTTGAGGGTAACTTCTTCTCTGGGTTACTCTTCCCCAGGAATCTTTGGGTCAGGTAGTTCCTTCCATGACTTTTCTTTAAGTGGACAGCCTAACACTCCGGGAGGCCGAGGCCAGCAGATCACTTGAACTCTGGAGTTCGAGACCAGCCTGAGCAAGAGCGAGACCCCATCTCTACTAAAAATAGAAAAACCTAGCTGTGTGTTGTGGCGGGTTCCTATAGTCCTAGCTACTAGGGAGGCTGAGGCAGGAGAATTGCTTGAGCCCAAGAGTTTGAGGTTGCTCTGAGCTATGACACCACAGCACACTACTCAGGTCGACAGAGTGAGACTCTGTCAAAAACCAAACAAACAACAACATCAACGGCAAAAAAAAACAGACAAGACTCAGGCAAGGTAAGTGACAGAAGGATCCATGGATTTCCTTGTTTGGAATCCTTTGAAAATGGCATTTTCATTAACTGGCCAAAGAGCAAAAGCACCGTCAAACGTACACTTTCTAGAAATTTTGAGACTGCTAATTTTCTCTAAAAAAAGCAAGTGGGTAACGGAGAGCAATTGTGGAGAGAGATGTTGTTATTTCCTTAAAGATGGCTCTCACAGCAACGTATCTTTCAGAGACATTTCATTACCCAGCAGCAGACATCCATTCTGTGTATTCATTCATTCATGCCTGACTTCCTTCAACAAACCCTGGGCACACGTGTCATCTACTGAGCTAAGTGATGGAGACAGGAAGATGTGGAAGAGGGCCCCAACCCTCCAAAATTCAGCCTAGTGAAGGAGACAGATGACAGATGTGTAACATAAAATCTTGCAGTGGAGGAGGAGAGGTGAGCCATGAGGGCACAGAGGAGAGAGCAAAAAGCTGTACCCAGGAGAACTGGAGAAGTCTTACTGGGGAAAGTGACATTTGCACTGAATGTCAAAGGATGTGCAAGAATATATCAGGCAAGCAGAGGGGCTGAAGTGACAGGCACAATTTAGGTGGAGGAAATTTTAATGAGCAAAGGACCAAGTTGTTTGGATGATCATTCATTGGAGAGATTTCCAGATATGACCATCTTGGATAATTAACCTCTGAAAAACACTTACGTTTGAGTAATTATTTTGTGTGCCTCTGGAATGAGCATCACCTACTTTTGCAATTTGGCACAGAAAAAGAACATGGTTAATTTAGAGAAGTTTTGACAACACTGAAGCATTTTCATTTCTCTTCCGAGGTGAGCCTTTTCCTCCCGCTCCAATTCTGTTGAAAGCAATAAAGTGAAATGGTAGATCAATGGCTTTGCCAGTAAAACACCCAGGTTCTATCGGGCACTTTAGCCGGATGAAATGTCAGTTTGATGCTGATTCAGCAGTTGTAGAAAATATAAAGGTTTGGGACTTGGTTCAAGGTGATTCACTAAATGGGAATTAAAAAATAAAAGGAGAAAAGTGTGTGCAGAAAAGAAAAGCCCGTCTGGATTTGATTCTGAGCTTAAGAGATGAGTGCAAGTCATTTCAGATTTTATTTTTTTATTTCAGATTTTTGTCCATAATTCAGTTCAAGTCTTGGTGCCTACCTTTGTGATGAAACACTCCCATTTAATTTGCTGTTCAAATAATTCCACTCTGCTGGAAAGGCTATACAATTATTGTCTTTTTAAAAAGGTGGTATCTAAATGTAGTGATAGCTGGATGGACTTCTGGTTAAATAACCTAGTTTAGGATAAGCAAAAATCCAACGAGTTGTTCTATCTGAGAAGATTATTGATGAAAGAATAAAGAGCTAAGTAAAAAATACTTCTTTTAATTCAAAGACACCTGTTTAAAAGATAGAGTAAAATGTTTCAGAGTTACAGCTATATGCCTGTGTCTTCTTGCTTGTGTGCACAGAGCAGTAGAGGCAGAGATGGCTGAGTCAAGGAGTCAATGAAAGATCAAGTTTAGTAGCAGGAATTAGTCCTGCCTGTAGCCAATGGCAATTCCATGCACAAGGCCCTGTATGTGTTACACATTTAATCTTTGGTTAGGTAATCTCTTATTTGCGTTTTTCAGATGAGTCAACTGAGGTTTGGTTAAGTTGGGTAACTTGCCTAAACATATCAAGAGTAAAGTTGCAGAGCCAGTATTCTGGGTGGATTCAGAGCATTGCTTTTACAAAACCCGTCTCAGGGAAGGTCGGGAGGGCTGAGCAGTAGAAGCATCTAAGCTCTAACTTGTCTAAGTTAGAGAACCTAAGCAACTTGGAGGATTCTATATCCAAATTAAGACAAGAAAAGTAAATTGGAAAGTACAGAAATTCAGATCAGTATCTGTATGTAAGATTAAGGATAGAATAAATTGTGCAAAGTAAGGTGAATGAGTAGATTCAGATTTCCAGCTTCCCACGGGACTTCTCCATTGAGGTGTTTTCATGAGTGGCTAAAACTCAGTACATCTCAAACTGACCTTATTCATCACCCCCTTTCTCCTTGTCACTCTTTTCCCTAACACCTGCTCATCCTCTTGTGGTTTTTATCTCAGGAGATGGGAAGATTATGTACTCAACTGTCCAAATCAGAAAACTGGGGGTCATCGTTAATCCCTCTCTCTTCCCCATCCTTCATATCCAATTGATCACCAAGTCCAATGCTATTAAGTCTACTTTCTTAATACCTCTTGAATCTATCTCCTCGTCTCCTTTGGTTCAGGCATCCCCAGTGTCAGAGTGATCCATCAAAAATGTTAAAATGACCATCGTCACTTCTCTACTTCAACTCCTTCCATGGTCCCCTTGCTTGCAGTATAAAATACATGAAATGCAAAGCCCTCCAAGATATGATGTCTGCCCCTCTCTAAACACGTCTCTCATCACTCCTCTCTACTTCAGAGCTGTTTCAAAATTACTTTTGAGTACCTGGTGCCTAGTCCAGTGCTGGGCACACAGGAGGCACAGAACTAAATGCTTGCTGAATGAAGGATGAATAAAGATTTTAGTGCTGGGTAGCACAAATGCTCAAAGTGGGCTCCCCCTACAGATAAGGGACACAGGTAAATTCAAACTTTTCAATCATTTTGTCACCCACAGACAAAAAATGAAATAAATAGGACTTATGAAGGAAAATAAAAATAAAGCTTTAACACCTTAATAAAATAATTTTTTAAAAGAATAAATGGCAGGTTATTTCAAAGTATAACAAAGGGTTCTATTTTCCTTTAAAAACTGTGCTTATAAAGCATAAACTATGTATCTAGTCATTTGGTATTTGCTTGCATTTGACTGTTTTAATAAAGGAATATTTTAAGACACAATGCAGAAATTCGTGGTTATAAATGTGGCGAGGAGGCAGACGGGGGAGACACTACTTGAATCTTAATGGCCTCCTGACTCAAAGTGCTGGCCTCTGAAGTACTCTACTCCCACCTGGTGGTACAATCAGAAAACTGTAGAACAAGATTTTAGAGGATTTCTTTCTTTCTTTCTTTTTTAAATAAACACATATTCTGCAAAAATGAGAGTGAGAGAATGACTGAATGACTGCAATCGTCACAGACTGTCATTCATCCTGAAGGATTTATACTCTTTGTCATTGCTTTACAGTCAAACCTTCTAAGCCCCTTTGTAGCATTCAAGGAAGACCAGAACTCGGTCATGCCATCGCTCTCTCCTGCCTCTCTGCACATGGAATGCCTACCCCTGTGTACTACTGGTATAAAATACAAAGAAACAATATCATACCCATGAAATCAAGTAAGTATCACCTTTAGCAGCCCCTAAAAAGGCCTTGTGTTTGCAGTTGGCTGACAGCAGGAGTGTGTGGCTAGCTGTTTGTCCTTAGAGCTCAACATTCTCTTTTTCTTGAGTGGGTGGGCTGAGGGATGTATAAAAAATGCTCATCTCCCAGCATGATGATTGTGGTCAGGTCCACTTGCCAACTTCTAGAATGTGGTGAGTATGGAGAGAATGGGCAGGGAGGCTACCTTTGGAACAGTCCCCAGGGGTCTAGCTGAACCCTGGACATCACATAAAAGGGACACAAATGAGAGAAAGGGGGTTGGCATTGAATGATCTGTAACACTGGTATGATCTGTTCTCACATAAGAGATCTCAAAAGTTTATTTCCTTCTTTCAACAGACCCAACCACTGGGACTTTGGTTATTGGAAATGTAACAAATTTTGAACAAGGTTATTACCAGTGTACTGCTATCAACAGCCTTGGCAACAGTTCCTGTGAAATTGATCTAACTACTTCACGTGAGTTGACCATACATCTTTAACAGCTTCTTCTTAAGTACAGGAGTCTGGGCCTGTCAGCTCAATAAATTAATTAGGATTCCTGCTTAGTGCTTCCTGCTTCTCTGCAGCTTTGTGGGCTTCATTTGTAGGTTGATATGATGAATGACTATCTTAATATCTAATACTTAATAGGTGCCACACACTGCCCCAAATCCTTTACAAAAAGTAATCTGTTTAAGCTTCATGAAATCTAGAAAGTTGGTATTACCATTCAATAATTAAAACAACAACCTTATGGATAATACCAAGCTGAATTTCTCTTTCTGAGGCTGGTGGTGAATCCAGGTGATGCTGTAGTTTTGGGACTCGTGTAGCTTGCAGACTTTCTAGTTCTTAACTGCTTTGCTAAGATCTGCCTGCAACAATAATAGCAATAATAACGTTCACACCCACAAGCACAATAGTTAATATTTGTGGAGCTCAAATGATATGCCAGAGACTAGGCCAGGTGCTGTACAAGCATTATCTCATTCGATCTTCTCAAAACCCTCTCTATTAGGGAGGCAGAATAGGTTGTTAGCCTCATTTCACTGAAAGTACATTGAAGCTCAGGGAGATAAATGACTTGCCCAATGTCATCCAGCACTGGCAGAGCAGAGGTGCCTCTAAACCTCAATCTTCTCATCTAAAAGTACTTACACACTCGCTGACCACAGGACTTAAGGGTCCTGGAATTGTCAAATTGGGCTGATCCAGGAGCAAGCCTCACAAGGGATGTCTCACCATACCACTTGAGGATCACTTGACGACAGTATCTTGTCATTTTTTCCTAACTTACTTTGAATTTGTAGTTTTAATCTATGCCATATTTAGGGTGGCAAGTTCCACTGGACTTTTGCTCTTCCGACGCAGCTGAGCTTTCTTCCTTTTGCTGTCCTGAACCTTGCTCCTTCATTCTCATGTCACTTTCATCAATTTTCCCTACCTCATTTCCATTGTCTTTCTTTAGCTCTCCCCCAATCCTTTTTTGCCTTCCTAGGGGCACAAACATACTACAGATGTAGAAGCACCTAGGATCTGGATGGCAGCCTCGCTTCTTTCCTAATCTTCTTTCTAGTGATGTCTAGCATTGCCTTCCTCCCTTCCCCTTCCTCCTTTCTGTCCTTGCTTCCTTCCTCAAGCATTTGTTAAGTATCTACTATATGCCAAGGATGGTCCTAGGTGATGGAGATACAGAGATTAAGAAGAAATATGTCTTACACTCAAGGAACTCAAATATACTAAATGCTGTACTAGAGGTCTGCACAGGGCCCAGAGGACTCCAAAAAAGGGGACAATTATAGAACTGGGGATAGCTTTTTATGGACCAAGTCCTACTTGAGGGGCATCTTAAAAGAACTTGACAAGCCTATTTCTTGTACAATAGAGATGTTGAGGGATGACAGTAGAACAGCAGGCAGAGAAGGGCATTAGGCCCATGCTGGGAGAAGAGGGTGGAGAACTCCAGAAGGCATGTCTCAGAGGGAAAATCCATGAGGAACTGATAGATGATCTAATGTATTTGAATCTACTGAGAGGGGTTTAATGGTTTGTGGAAATGTCGGGATTAGTGATAATGCATTTAAAAAGAAAACTAAACAAATGAGGCACTTATTAACCCCAGGGGAAAATTGTTAAAATGTTGTACAAGAAAGAATCCTAGTTACTGTTCCTCAGCTGTGAACAATATTTCAATAGTCATAATGCTGCAAACTTCAATTTAACCAAAACTTGTGATAGAATTTTATTAGCAGAATACGGAGGTGCGGCGTGAGGGGACTGGTGCAAAAGAGCTCAACTTCCAGAGTAGGAAATAAAAAGGAAATGATGAAAATTAGAAAAGGCAGGACAAATGAATGGCCAACAAACATGAAAAAATGCTCATTATTTCTAATTATTAGAGAAATACAAATCAAAACCACTTTGAGATATCACCTAACTCCAGTGAGAATGACCCACATCACAAGGTTCCAAAGTTATAGATGTGGTATGGGTGCAGAGAGAAGGGAACACCTTCTTCACTGTGGGTGGGACTGCAAACTAATACAGCCTTTATGGAAAGAAGTATGGTGAGTCCTCAAAGAACTAAAAGTAGACCTTCCATTTGAGCCTGGAATCTCATTACTAGTTATCTATGCAAAAGAGAAAAAGTCATTTTATTATAAGTATATTTGTACTTGAATGTTTATAGCAGTCCAATTTATAATCGCAAACATGTGGAAACAACCCAAGTACCCATCAACATGTGAATGGATTAATGAACTGTGGTATATATATATATATATATATATACACACCATGGCATATTTACTATCCAGCCATAAAAAGATGGAGATTTTATATCTTTTGTTACAACTTGGAAGGATTTGGAGAACATTCTCCTAAGTAAAGCATTACAAGAACAGAAAATCAAGCATCCCATGTACTAAGTTGAAACTTGTAGATTATGAACAATGTGTACACAAGAGAAAAACTCAAATTTGAGAATGGGGGAGAGGGTTTGGCAAGTTCTCACCTAACAGGTACATGTACAGGTAAATGGCACACTTCCTGGGGGAAGGTCACGACTACAAATTGGACTTTATCTTACAAATAAATGCAGTGTAACCAAATCGTATGTACCCTCATATTAATCTGAAATAAATTAATAAAACAAAAAGACAGGCTATATCGGAGCAATCATAACACAGGGCAAGAAAATTAAAAAGAAAGAGTTAAGAGTGGTGGCCTTTAGTGAATGGAATCAAGAGATGGGAAGGAATGGGGCAGAGGACTGCTGTTTTGTGAGAAATTTAGTAGAATTACTTGATTTTTAAAATTATGCACCAGGCAACTCAACTGGCCTCTCATCTCAAATATAATGTCAACCCTTGTTTGAGGGGAGGCAGATAGGGGTGGGCTGTTTTATAACCCAGACATGGTGTTCCAGGACTTGAAGGTCTGGTGCTCAGCTGGATTGACTCACATCGATTAAGCTTTTCCATAGACTGACATAATAAACCAGATGTCTGTTAATTGAAATGGGCGTATCCTTTCTTAGTGGCCAGAATGCCCTGATGAGCATGGATGCTGTGGGGGAGAAGGCTTTTAAGGACCTGTTTCCCCTATACTCCAGGAAAGCCTGGTGAAAGGTCCCTGCCTATAACAGAGGTATATCGTTGGTGACTGGATTACAACTCCACGGTGTCTCTCCCACTGGTTAAGCAAATGCACACTTTAGACTCTCTTCTCTAAACCCTATTTTGAAAGCAAGTCTGCCTCCCCCAAATTTGTGTATTTTGTTCTTTATGTGTTTAAATGTCAATAGTTAAGCTACATAGTCAGGCCAGTCTTCTTTCTTCTCCCACTATGGGTCCAACTGGCAGCGTTCTAGGGGTGTCTATTTTTCTAGCCTATGCAGGTCACTTCCTTGCTATGTGAATGCCCCAAATATTCCCCACTGCTCACAAATGCATACATATGAAATGACGATATGGTCTACTTTATTGACCATCTGCTTGTGTCCTCCAGATCAAGAAATTGCAATCATTATCGGGGCCGTGGTAGGAACCGTGGGAGGTGCTGCCATTATCTTCTGTATTGTGTGCTTGGCAAGGAAGAAGACCAAGGCAAATGAAAGGAAGAGAACTTCTAAAGCCACTACTGAACTTGAGTAAGCCCTCATTTTGGTTTCTTTACTTGAATACAAACATTTCTCAGGGATATCTCGTTCAGTCAGCAATTCCTAAGCGCTCCTTTTAGTATACACTATCAGAGGTATCTTTCTGCTTGTTCTCCTTGCTTTTATAAAAAGAATGATGATGACTACCACTTATTGAGTGCTGGGTGCCACACTGTTCTAAGCACCTTATGTATATCAATTGATTTTACCATCGTGACAACCCTTTTAGGTCCAAGAAAACGTTTTAATATGTAATATCAACATACTGGCCTTTATAATAACACACTCATCAAATATAATTTTAAATATATATTTTTAATGGAACAAGAGGCCCACAGAGTAAAAAGTGCTGAGAGCCCACAGAAATCAGAATGTGGCCCTGTCCAAAGCCCATCTCTTAACCATGTATTGGGTACACACCTGGTGCCAAGCATTGTACTACATGGAGTGGGAGATGGAGATGCATCAGAGCTATGTATTTGGCCTTCAAAGACCTAATTAGATTCTTAGACTCTCATCCTATCATCATGGTCTGTCTTTCTTGGACTTTCATTATTGTTGAGACCTGACCCTCCTGAACCCAAAATAGAGACATATGACCTGACAGTGAGTCAGAATAAGAGAAATAACAGCCTTCCTGCAGTCTGGGACCCATAAGTCACTTATGCTACAGAGCATTTGACTCCACATGAAATTTCAAAGTTAGCATTTCCCTAACTTATTCTTTTCTGGGGCTTCTTTCTTGCAGACCAATGACAACGAAAAACCAAGGTACAGAGGGTGAAGCAATGCCAAGAGAAAACATCATCCAATTAGAAGCAGCAGCTCTACCACCTACAACTGTCACCATCCTGGGACCAGACCAGCACGCACACATCGCAGAGATGGCCTCAGGATTAGAGCCATTTACTATCACTGAGCTTGATCTCGACCTGGATCTAGAGCCAGATCTGGATCTGGAAATGGAGTCAGAGCCAGATCCTGGGATTATAGTTGAGCATTTCTGTGATGACGAAAATTTGAGGGGTTAAGGCATAGGCCGGTGGCCCCAATCCAGCATCATCACGAAGGAACCCATTACTGGCATTTACAATTCTGTTGAACTAACCAGCCCCCTCTTCTGCCTGACATGTTGATCAACCCTCCTCTAACACAGTGCTCATTACTATCGCAAATCCTGAATCAACATGGCAAGGTAACTAACTACTAAATACATACAAGGGTTCCTGTATTACCAGAATACTTACAATTTTACTAACATGTAAGTCTAACAAATGACAAAGCGAGTGATTTCTAAATTAGTTGAAAGAGTTTTATAATAGTACTTATATTTCAGAAAATCTTATTGACAAGGTGGCATTAATTAAATTCAATATTACTAGGATTACTCCTAGGATGGTCAGGGCTACCCTATTCATTTTTATATTGAGCACTAAGGAAAGAATTCGCCAGCATTATGTCATAGATTGAAAAAAAGTTCTCCAAAAATAACAGAGGATAATGTGTAAAAGATATATATCAATTGGTCCCTGGTATTTAAAACCAGGTCTTGTAATTAATACTCCATTCATCATGTTAGATTTCCCAAGGAGTTACCCTGGTATCCAATTATCTGAGCCTAGCAATTTTCTTTTAAATACCCCAATTTATAAATGCCAAATAATGTATAAGCAAACATTACCATTTAGCTTTGAATGAGCTATTATGTTATCATGATGTCTGATGTGATCTACTTTGAAGAGCAGCCTAGGAAAGTATTCCAAATGAACACACATGATCCATTTTAGATAATCTTAACTGATTATGTAAATAATGTTTTAATGTTGGCACATTCAAACATTAATATAGAGATATTGATCCTGTATAAATGCTAAATATTAACTAAAATGCATTGATATCACTTCTTTTTCCCCTGTTCAAAAGCTTTGGGCAATCATATTTCACCCACATCCCACCTTGAGGAAATTTATAGGTAAATTCACTTTTTCACTTGTGAAATGAATCATATGTTAAATTTTACTTTAAGGCTCAATAAATAATACTAAATAAAATCTCATTTTAATGACTCCTAAGTTAAATCCTTTTATAAACCACTTTGTTGATGTATACTTTACGGACAATAAACCACCCATTTCATGTGTACAATTTGATGGATTTTGATAAAGTACACACCCATGAGACCACCACATCCATCTAGAGGAAAACATTTCAATCAACCAAAAATGTTCAGTCATGCCCCCTCCTGCAATCCCACCATGACCCTGGACCTCTTATTTTTGTCATTTCTTTACTTTCATACAGAGGGGATGACTTCCTTCTAAGGTGAATCCATTTTAATCTAACTTACCACATTCAGATTTTATGTAAATGATTTTCTTGAATTGCAAACTCCTTTTTATGTAGGTCACTGCATACACACATTGAGGTAAGGTCTTGTAGGTTTTAAGGTGGGTTGAAATGGAAATTAACATTACTCTTGTTCATAGCCATGGGAAAAAAGCTAGAAAGCTTTTACTTATGTATTCTCTTTGATATGTCAATTTTCAGCCAACCTCAGGGATTTCTGAAGTACCTATAATTCTATTCACAGACTAAATATGCTACTATGATATATGGTATCCTGTAGCCTGATGGGGACTGGAAGCAAAATAAAGAAGATGAGGAAGGTCTTTTTTTGAGATAGGGTCTCACTATGTTGCCCTTGGTAGAGTGCTATTGTGTCACAGCTCACAGCAACCTCAAACTCTTGGGCTTAAGTGATTCTCTTGCCTCAGCCTCCCAAGTAGCTGGGACTACAGGCACCTGCTACAACACCCAGCTATTTTTTGGTGCAGTTGTCATTGTTGTTTAGCTGGCCCAGGGTGGGTTCGAACCCGCCAGCCTCAGTGTATGTGGCTGGTGCCATAACCACTGTACTATGGTTGCTGAGCCAGTGAAGAAGGTCTTAAGAATGATCTAATTTTTCAAGTTTAAAAACTAAGCAACAATGTAAACATCTCAATTACCAGAATGCCCAAGTAGCTGGAATTCATTTTTCCCTTCTACTTTTATGATGAAGGCATATCACAAGAAAAGATACTGGCATGTAATAGCCAACAACTATGCTCTAAATTTTCTGATGGATCAGTGCTGACCAGGAAAGAAGGCACTATTGACAGTCTTACAGAGTTCTATCCTTACAAGCACTTACAAAAATACTTATGAATAATTGGATCAGTAGCTTATAACCCTTTTTGAGGTAGGTCATGAATCACCTTGAGAATCTGCCAAAAACTCTCAATCCCTCTCCACTGAAAAAAATGCTTATACTCACAGTGTCACATACAGTTTTAGATGAATACAGGTGTCCTCAAACTGTGGCCCGCGGGCCACATGCAGCCCACCTAGGACATTTATCTGGTCTGCCAGGTGTTTTTGCTGCCACTGCCTATCCTGTTTAGCAGCTGACTCGTCCCGGGGCCTGCAGTCCAGCCCTCCAGAGGTCTGAGGGACAGTGAACTGGCCCCCTGTTTAAAAAGTTTGAGGACCCTTGAATTAGAAACTCCCCAAATCCAAGATTAAGAATCAGTGACGTAGATAAAAACACAGAAGGCACACTTCATAAATTTGTGGAGGACTTGCTCCTGGGGTTAATAGCTACTACGCTGTAAGATAGAATCAAGATTAGGAATAATCTCAATAGCTTGAAAGATGAGCTGAAATCAACATAATTTATTTGACATGAATAAATGGAAAAATCTGGACTTAAAAATACAAGTGCATGTTTCCCAGGTAGAAATCCTTGCTGGGCAAAGTTGGGAAGTACATGAGGTTAATCGAAAGTGGTACCTTTGGAATTTTCCTTTCAGCTCCCATCCTGGCCTTGTGGCGCGTTTTTTCCCCCAAATACCCTAGATCGGCAGTTTTCAACCTGTGGGTCGTGACCCCTTTGGGGGTCGAACGACCCTTTCACAAGGGTCACCTAAGACCATCCTGCATATCAGATATTTACATTATGATTCATAACAGTAGCAAAATTATAGTTATGAAGTAGCAATGAAAATAATTTTATGGTTGGGGGTCACCACAACATGAGGAACTGTATTAAAGGGTCGCGGCATTAGGAAGGTTGAGAACCACTGTCCTAGATTCTCATGCTCCTACTAGCTCAGTGACCCACTCAGTTCTACATCCCTCAAGTAGGACTCATTGCTCAGGACCTACTTCTGCCCTTGCCACCATTTCAAAAGGTAGGTTTCCTGTCACCTGTCCTTGTTTAGTGAATTTGATCTTTCAGCTTCCAGTGATCTCAGCCAGGTTCATAAATGAGTTAGTCCCTATGAAAGTATTTACCTTTCAAAGGGGACTCTAGAACACAGATAAGCCATAATCCAAAGAGGCAAAACAATGGAATTTCAGGTACTGAAACAATCCAGAGGAGAGATGTTTCTGGGAAAGGGAGCCTCCTCTGTCCCCCTCAAATCAAACCATATGTTATCCTCCATTCAACCTACTCTGGGTCAATGCAACTTCATCCCAGTCTCGTCAATGACATCTGTAATATACCATAAATTTATGTTTGTGATGAATCCTAAGACCTGTAAGATGCTGAATCATAACAAAACTCTGTTCAATGAGTGTCACTTAAGCAGAAAAAGAGAGCTCATGTTTAAGAGCTTTCCAATAAAGGAACAAAATGGAGTTTTCCCATTTATTCATCATTGGGTCAGGAAATAGTTTGATTAAGCTTTGACCAAGTTCTTTCAACACAATTCTCTTGATTCTTTTTTTTTTTTTTTTTGCAGTTTTTGGCTGGGGCCGGGTTTGAACCCACCACCTCTGGTATATGGGGCCGGCACCCTACACCTTTGAGTCACAGGCACCACCCCTCAACACAATTCTCAGAGAGGGGACTGATTTATTTTGCCACAAGTAGTTAAAATTTAAGTGGATAGTACCAATCTAAGTTCAAGCCAGACTTGGGGTTCTTCACTGTTCATTCTGACCACTCAAAGGGATTTCCGGGAACTTCTCTCATCTCTTTTTCTGCATTTAGAAAGAAGGCCAGGCATGGTGGCTCACAGCTATAATCCTAGCACTCTGGGAAGCCAAGGCGGGTGGATTGCTTGAGATCAGGAGTTCAACATCAGCTTGAGCCAAGGTGAAACCCCATCTCTACTAAAAATAGAAAAACTAGCCAGGCATCATGGTGGGTGCCTATAGTCCTAGCTACTTGGGAGGCTGAGGCCAAAGGATTGCTTGAGCCCAAGAATTTGAGGTTGCTCTGAGTTATGATGACACCGTGGTACTCTCCCTAGGGAGACTGAGTGAGACTGTCTCAAAAAAAAAAAAAAAAGAGCAAGTAGTGTATTCTAAGGTCAGCAGAACAGCCTTTTTTGGCTGTAGGTCCTTAGACTGTCTCAATTCATTTGTTTATTCAGTCACCCTTTGGACTACTACCAGGACTGTTGCTGCTGCTGATGGTACAGTGGTGAGCAGAATCAGAGCCATGGAGTACACAGTTTCGCTATGACAAGTTCTTGTGTGTTAACACCAATAGTGTGTTGACTACAGGAGAGAAAGGCTAAAATTTTTGTACTGCACTGGAGAGGGCTTCAAAATTACAGTGATTTATGATGAAAAGAGACAAACACATAGTAATTCTTGACTAAGAGCTGAGAAACCACATAGACTGATTATCTTTTATGCCCTTTAGAGCACCAGATGACTTTCTCCCTTAATATTGCACGCTGAGAAGTTACTATGTGCAGCTTCTACACTGGCTTGCATGTGACTCAAATTTGATCAGCAAGAATTTCTGAGCTAGAACTTTGAGATCAGTAATATTTAACCTTTTCAACTCCAGTACACCTGAGGTTTAGAACACACACAATGGCTCACTCCTAACAATGATGGAGATAGAGGTGGGAGGTGATGTAGGATTACATTCCTGGTTGGGGAGGCCGGTTCATGATAGCTGGTTCATTCTTACATATTCCCTCTTGGCCCCCAGAGATCCCCTGAGTAAAGAAAGGTAAAATAATCTGTCTGACATTACACAAAGTCAAAACTGGATCCAAATTCTCTGATTCCAAGTGTAATGCTCTTTCAACTGCACCAAACTACTAATTTCAATGAAACAAAACCACGTTTTAGTAACAAAAAGTTGTTTTATAGTGTCTACAAGCTGAAAACTGGTTAGAGGGCCTCATAAAAGTTTCAAACCAA